ATGTGCAGTAATCAAATTTTTTTATGGAAGAATATTAGGGCCACTTTGAAAGAAAAAAAGTTAATTGATTTTTTTATTTTATTTAAGTTAAATACGGGGAAAAAAAGTCAGAATTCTGACTTTTTTCCAATGTTAAGATAAAAAAAAATCTTTTTTTTTTGTCCAGTGGCCCTAATCCTCTTCCATACTTTTCTCTGTTTTAAGGATCTAATAAACTCTGTCAGCTGATGGGAAACTGAGCCGATGTTCTGCTGCAGCGTTTATCAGGTTAAACCTGCTAATGTTGCAGCAGAGAGCAGCATTAGGACCTGGCAGCAGCGGGAGATTAATGACAGCAGCTTCTGTAAATAAAACACATTTTAAAAGGTCGTGAGTCGATCCGTCCAGAACCAGCAGCACCTGGAGGCGGAGCTCCGCGGAGCAGAACCAGAGAAACGGAGAGAAGCTTCAGGAAGGAGGCCAGGTCCGACTGGTGTCAGAACAGGACAGACTTCACTACATCATCGTAATGTCGTCCAATCAGATTACAGCGGCGCCTCCATCGCTCACTATGAGCCCTTTAACGGCCCGCTGCAGAATCAGAGCCGTGATTTAAAGGTCGATCAAGCAAACATGACAACCACTTAAACTGTCCTGAGGCATTTCAGGGTGTGAAAACTTTAGCTTTTTAGAAGAAGCTAAAGTTTTCACACCCTGAGAATTCTTCCTCTTTTCTTGAGTCACTTTTATCTTCATGTTTTTGGAGGTTTGCAGACAGGAAATGGAAGCGAGAAAGAAAGGAGGACATGGAGCAAACCAGAACCTCCATCAGCTGGGTCCCACCTTCACCCAGCTGCCTCTGCAGCATCCAGCTCTTCCTCCTGTGGTCCAGATTGACTTCAGAGCATCATGGAGATCTCATCCCAACGCTCGTTGGCTCCGTTCTGGAGCAGGGAGGGTTGAACGGCTGCAGGAAGGCGGCTGCAATGGATGCATGGCAGTGAGGACAGGACCAGAATCATTAAACCGGCTCAAACATTGTGGTGATGTTGGAGGAGATGATTTTATGGGTCCAGCTCCAGTGTTTCGACTGGTCAAAGAAGAAGGTCTCTGTCTCCACCTTGGTGTTCTCCTCCTTTCCCGTCAGACATTTTTAAACTCCTTCCTCTTTGGATCATTGTCTGTTCTTCTTCTTCCAGCTGACCGTGTTTCTGGCGACGGGAGAACGTTTCCGCCGTCACCAACCAGCTCCAGGGTCTCTGAATCCGCCTCTCCTCAGGTTAGATCATGTTACTAACATT